GATTATTTTATGCTAAAATGTTTAGTATAAATAAGTGCAAAATGTTTGCACATTAATTGCTAAGTTTTGAGCAAAATTCTTCCAAGAGAAAATTCATTCAAAGAGTTGAGTGATAATACAAGAAAGTGTTCTTGAAAAATTTCCTTATAAATATATATTCTATACTTCTTGAAAAACCGAGTAGTTTCTACTAGCGAAGAAACTATAGTCGGAACCAAAGTTCAAAAGGTGGATACGATTAGAGGGAAGACATTTGGATTCCTAAAGTGAGTAACAACAAGAAGTGATTGTTACCAAACCGAGAATTGATTTCCTCATACATCGTCGGTTTTGAAGGAGTTCAAGAACAAAGGTAATTTTTATAAATTAAATATCAAATCAAAATTAGTAAAAGTTACTAGATTTTAAATGATGCTTATTTGTTACCTCGTTATACTTATGTATGGAATAAGTATTTATAAGATAAATACTTATAAAATTTTAAATTCCGCTGCAAACTCTGTTCCGTACAGTATATCGAACCCAACACGAGTATCGTTCAGTGAAAGGGAAAGATACATTAATTAATATTTATAAATTAAAAGTTTTAATTAAGTAATATTTTAAATTAAAAATATAGAATCAATAGGTAATACAATTACTTATTCTAATATATTGAATGTTATATAAAGTTTAAATTGTACAAAATTAAATAAAATTGTCTATTTAAAATTAGTACACAACTCGTGTGGTGCACATAACTGATATAAATCACATTATATTCGTTTCAATTAAAATAAGGATCATTTCAAGAATTTTATTCAGAAATTCAATTTGACTATAATGTGATTTCGTAAAATAATTATTTTGGTAAAATGTTATCCTATATTTAATAACCTATTAGAATAATAAGTATAAATATAAAATTTATATTGTTTCATTAGTTAAAATAATCTATTTTTGTATCAACAATTCAAATAAAAAAATTTAGTAGTTGAGTAATATATTAAACTATAAATAATTGACTATTTTTTTTACGTCCAAGTCAATATTGACTCATAAGTTAATGAAAATTTATTAAATTATAAATAGTTGACTATGTCGTTTACGCCCATGTTAATTTTGACCCGCAAATTATGAGTAATTATTTTTTTATTTTTTATTTTAAATTAAAATATTTTTTTTCAATATATTATATACCAAATTTAAACCATGCAACTAATAAAGGTAATAGTTGCAAGCTTTGTCAATATATTATATTTTAAATTTCAATTATGCAACTAATAACGGTAATAGCCGCAATATTTGACAAAAGGGATTATGTACATTAATTACATTAATTTAGTGGGAGTTTTCAAACTTTGGCAAAAAAATATTACTCAATATAGTAAATACTTTTGGCGGGAAATCAATTTTTTTTTTTTTTTTTTTGCTGATGTTTATTTTTTATTTCAAGTAAATATCCTTGTTTCTTTATATATTAATAGATAGATGGATAATTTTACTTTTTTTTTAATCTACAATGCATCTGATTCTTGTTCATCGGATTCTTTTTGAAACTAGATGTAATGAACTAAACACTCTATGTGTGGGAGCTTATAGACGTGGCCAATTGTGGGTGTCGGCTGGTTTCAGTTGGGAACAATACTGTGAATTGTGATCTATAGAGCAAATAAATAGAAAGATTTTTCTCCACGTGTATTGAATGTTAGATTTTCGACGTACGAACCTAGCGTACGCGCAGCGGAATTTAAATATTTTTCTACCAACAAGGAAGATCCGGCTATAGCTATTCGATATGATCCTAGATCGTGTGAATGATCAACGAAAACTTATGGTTGTTCGTTTATGTCCTCGACTATGGTATCCACGCAATCCAGTTTCTCGATGCACGATCTAACACCAATGAATCCTTTTCGTTGAAGAAGCTAGGAATCCTCAGTCAAAAAGCAAGAGAGAGTTTTGAGTTCTTACGGTGTATTATTTTTATCTCTCTCATCTAATGAAGAGATAATCACCTATTTATATAATTAGGTTAAACCTAATTATATGGGCTTTAGCATAACCTATAGCGCAATAGGTAATTGGACTTAATCTAATTAATAATTTAATTAAATATAAATCTAATTTAACTTAATTAAATATTTTTTTATCAAATAGAAAATAATTCCATTACTCATAAATAAATATTCCAATCTAATTGAATATTTAACACTCTCGATTCACTCTTAGTCGGAAAACTGATTGCATATTGTGTGACCCTATAGGCCTTCATATATTGACATAAATCTAATTTTGTGATCCTTACGAAACTTCTAGACTGCGTCGAAGGACGAACTCAAAATATGAAGTACGTTTACATGGACAAACAAACAAACCTTTAGTGTAGAACTCAATAGTGATACGGTCCCTTCATTCACGAACCACTCGATTAAGCTTAGGATTTGAACATGTGTCTATCCAAACAGCTTAATCATTTTATCTCATGTCACTGGTTGATTTTATCAATTATATTTGAACACCATTCCAAATATAATCATGTGCATTGGCCAATGACTTCATCAACCCAGTATAGGGAAAACGAGTGTTCTCTCGAAACTATATTCGAGTAATGAATCCTATCTTGGCTCAACTACTAATTTCATGTATATCATGATATACCCAACACAAGCCTGTGTCTACCCATAAGGGCGTAAGCATTGGACAAGGTATAAGTAAATCACTCTATACATGAATTGCGTATTGACATCAAGTCAAAGAACTATTACACCATTCCACACACCGATACTTTCATAGACACATAAACAAATAGTTTATCGATAGGGTATGCCAATACTCTTCAAAGTATCCATGTGTCCATCACGAATAACAATTATTCACAGCAGTGAGACATACTATATTCTCTAAGAATATGATGCAGACCACATGTCAATCTATCGCGTATCATTAATATTCCTTTCTTATTGATCGTTGATTGAGGCGATTTTAGAGTTATACTTTATCAATTAACATTTCACTCTGCTAATGACAGTATCAACTCAAGGGAGAAATTAATTAATAAATTGCAAACAATCAAACAATTATTTAACTAATTGCAATACCATAATTATAACCCAATATAATTATTAATGTGATCATGTATATATGTCCTTAAAATGATTGTCTATAGGACACATATACCAACAATCTCCCACTTGAACTAGAGGCAATCACCAATGTATCTAATACACATTTTCTTAAATTGACTATTGTGCTCAACTATGCACCATGGTTTGGTGAACGAACCATTCAAGTAATGTTCAGTTTGAACATGTTCTAACTTATTTCTCATCTATCAATTATCTCTAAATAAATGATAGCACCTTTGAACATGTTTATTTTGTTGTTAGATCTTGGTTCCTTTGCCCGTGTAATCGCAACGTTTATCATAATATGTAGATATTAGATAATGGCACTTGGAACTACCCCTAGTTCATTTAAGAACTCTTGTATCCAAACAGCATTCATAGGCTTTTAATACAACAATGTACTTGGCCTATGCGGTTGAATTCACAGTGATTTATTGCTTGGACCTATTCCAACACACTGTCACATCATTGAAATGAATGTAGCTATTAAATAATTATTCTCACCATAGAATAAAATATATACTTTAGTTCATCTAATGTACTAAAGATAGTCTTAACAGTCTTCCAATATAGCTCCCTAGGATTTTATTGGAATCTATAAGTGATACTAAATGCATAAACCATATAGACATCGTACATGTCATAACATGCATGATAGACTCTATCGCATAAGCATATGTGATCTTCTTCATGCACTCAAGTTTGGCATCAACTGAAATACAATCTTTCTTTGCCAACTTGATGTCATGTCCATCGGAATATTCATTCTGTTAGAATTTTCCATGGAGAAGCACTTCAGTACCATGACTATACACATGGGCCGTGAAACTTTAACACTCTATTAGGTCTATCTCGATAGATCCTAATTTCAAGCGTATATCAATTTTCAGTCAAGTCCTTCACAATGAAGACACTTGATAATCAATCTTTTATTGACTGTGATATAGGATATTATACCCACCAAGCTAAACCGGTCTGATGAACTGGACGAGGTGGTCATATCACGAAAGAACCGAACCCAGTGGCGGGAAGATCGAGCAGCTTACCTGTCGACCAGTCAAGTAGTCGACCAACCCATCACTCGACCAGATGAGTGATCGACCAACTCAGTCGACCTCAACAGGTCGATCATCTTGTAGACCTAACACTCTAAAGAATCGGCCTAGTCACAGGCGCGTGTGAGAGCCTCTAACAGAATTCCTGAAGAATATTCACCTCATGTGCAGGAGGACACGTGTCGAGAATGCAGTGGTTGGTAGCAATAACCACTTCTGACAGCCTACCCCATGTGCAGGAGGACACGCGTCCAAAGAATATTGGTGCAGACGATAGTGGAGACGACTACCTCTGACACACGCGTATTGTGTGTACAGACGGGCAGTTAGGGCAGACAGCTCACCAAATCCAGGCAGCCCTAGGTCAGGTATCTCACCCCTATATAAAGGGGGTGAGCCTTTCTTCTCCAACACGATTTTTCCATTATTCACTTCAATATACTCATACACATACTGACTTAAGCATCGGAGGCTCTTCACCGGACACAACCCCCGGTGCGAGAGTTATTTGCAGGTTTCCGGCGTTCTATCTGTGAGGACAAGAATCGATCTACCCCAAACCGGACCAGGACGTGCACACTTGCATTATTGGCACCGTCTGTGGGAACTTTGTTCGAAAGGTTGTGTTTGAAGCTTTGCTATGGCGGACGGAATTTTCAAAACCAACTTGCAGTCGACGTTCGATGACGCTTGGACGACGACCAGGCCGATTGGACAAGGCCCTCCTCCAGGCTTCTCTGGCCCTTCACAGACGCCGGTCACTCCTACACCCGTCCTTCAAGGTGTGGGAGCGACGATGGTGATTCCCGGAGGAGACGCCAGCTCCAGCCGTGCCCAGGAAGCTCGTGCAGCAGCTGCGGCGGCGATGCCACCACCACCGCCACAAAATCCAGTGATGGTACAACCAGGAGGAGCGATGGTGCAAAGAGGAGTGGCGACACAAGGAGGAGCACCACAACAAGCCGTCGCACAAGCTCCTGGTCAACAGATGGTGACGATGACCAGGGAGGAGATGCAAAGGATAGCGGCAGTGCAGGCGGTGCAGCAAGTCACGAGCCATACATCTCACGCCACCACCGTGCCGACCACGGCAGTAGGAGGCCAAGACGAGGATGTGTCCAGTTATGGAGATGGAGGAGGTGGAATAGATCGTGTGATGGAGAGGATGGCGGAGTAGTTGCGCCAGTTGCAGGACAAGGTTGAGGGGAGGCTGGAGAGGAGAGCTCGAAGACATCCGTTCACGAGGGAGATTCTCGCAGCCCCCCTACCAAATAATTTCAAGGAGAATAATCTGGTGTATGATGGGTCATCTGACCCTTCGAGGTATGTGAGGACCTTTGAGCACATGGCTGTATTACATGGGTATTCTGATTCTGTATGTTGCAGGGCATTTCTATCGACCTTGCGTGGGGGAGCACTTGACTGGTTTCATCAATTACCCCCTGGGTCGATCGCAGACTTTGAGGATTTTTCCAGCAAGCTTACAACCAATATTTGAGCGTGGTGGCGCAGGAGAAGACATATTTGACGCTGATGGCGATGAGACAAGGATAGAAGGAGTCGTTGAAAAAGTATGTGGCTCGATATAATCAAACATGTTTGGAGGTGCACTCAGCATCGGATGAGGTAAAAGCAGGAGGATTGATAAGGAGTCTTCGAGTGGGGCCTTGTCGAACCTCCGTGGCAAAGACCCCTGCTCGATCATATGAGGACGTTTTGAAGCGATGCAGAATATACATTAATCTGGAGGAGATCGAAATGGAGTTTGCAAAGCTGGAAGGGGCGGCTCGACCAGAGCCAAAGAAGGAGAAAAGCCCACGAAGGGGAAGGTCGCCGAGGAGAAGTTTGCCCAAAAGGAGTGGGTCGAAAAGAATATCGCCCAAGAAAAAAGGTCGAGATTCAAAGTTGGCGAGAAGGGATGACAGGTGGCAGGGGAGGCCCTTGTCGTTCGGAAGACAAAGGTACCATAATTTTACTCCTCTGAGGGAAGACTTGACGGAAGTGCTTGAGGCTATGGAGCAGAAGATGTCGAGCGAGGATGTGACGTGGCCGAAGATGAGATTTACCAGCCCGATTAGGCCCAGGTCGGATATCTACTGCCGTTTTCACCGAGATTACGACCATAGCACGGAGAACTGTAGGCATTTGAAGGATTAGATTGAAAGGTTAATTCCGGCAGGGCACCTGAAGGAGTTTGTGTATCATAACAGGGCGAAAGGAAAAGGGAGGAGAAGGTGTCGGGAGGAATCTGAGGAGAGAAGTGATAGAGATGAGGAGGGTGATGATAGAGATGGGAGAGATGGTCGAGGAAAGAGGCCGAGGAGGGATGGAGATAAAGAGGGTCAAGGAGGAGAAGCCCCGTTGAAGAGAGGGACGATATATATGATTTCTGGAGGGCCGACGGATGGCGAATCGAATCACGCCAGGAAGGAGCATGCTCGAGCTGTGAAAAGAAAGAGAAAGGAGGTGGGGATTACGGCTCGAATGCCGGTGATAAGTTTTAAGGCGGAGGATACTGAGGGAGTGGTCTTGCCACACAACGACGCTTTGGTGATTACTGCGGAGGTGGCAGGATTTGATGTGAAGAGGGTGTTCATTGATACCGGGAGTTCGGTGGACGTGATGTTCTATGATTGTTTTGTGCAGATTAATAAGGAGCTGAACATGGAGTTGAAACCAGTGGCCACAACATTATACGACTTTAACGGAGGAGAGGTTATGCCGATGGGAGAGATCAACTTGCCCGTGGCGCTGGGATCAGGGGTGATGAGGAAAGTCCGGATGGTGAGGTTTGTGGTCGTCGGGGCTGAGTCGTCTTACAACATTATAATGTGGAGAACAAGCTTGAATGCATTCCAGGCGGTCGTATCCATGTACCACATGACGATCAAATATCCTATGGGCGAAAACTTTGGAGAGATTGCTGGAGACCAACTTACCTCGAGGAGTTGCTACCAAACTACGGTGAGCAACAACAAACAGCTAGCGAAGAAGCAGGCTAGGCCAAAGGGGAGGAGGTCAATCGATCAGGTGGGTCGAGGTCGAAAGAAGATAGACAGAGGTTGGAGAAAAAAAAAAGAGAAGGTGGATATCCAGCCCGGAGAGGAGGTCGAGGAAGTTCAGATGATCGAGGGATGTGAGGAGAGGAAGTTCATAATTGGGAAGGACCTGGAGGAGCCCATCAGGTCGAGGTTGATTTGCCTAGTTAGGGAGTTCGTGGATATCTTTGCGTATACAACGAAGGAGTTAACGGGAATAAGTGCGGAGGTGATCGAACACTGGTTGAACATCGACCTCAGCGTGAGGCCGGTGAAGCAAAAGAGGAGACATCATAGAGCGGAGATGGATAAAATTATCGAGCAAGAGGTCGAGAAACTGTTGAAAGCGGGGCATATCAAGGAGATTCAGTTCCCAGAATGGTTATCAAATACAGTGATGGTGTCAAAGGCGGAGGGAAAGTGTAGAATGTACATCAACTTTCGTGATTTGAACAAAGCGTGCCCGAAGGATCTGTACCCATTACCTAGAATCGACTAGTTGGTCGACTCGACGGCTGGGTGCGAATTGTTGAGCTTGATGGACGCCTCCCAGGGGTACCACCAAATTCCCTTGGCAAAAGAAGATAGAAAACGGGTGAGTTTTGTAACGAGTCGGAGAACCTATTGTTATGTGGTGATGCCGTTCGGCCTGAAAAACGCGGGCGTCACGTATCAAAGGTTGGTCGATAACATTTTTAAAGAACAACTGGGGAGAAATATGGAAGTATATGTAGACGATATGTTAGTGAAAAGCAAAGAAGAGATGGATCATGTGCGAGACTTGAAGGAAACATTTTTGACTTTGAGGAGGTACGGGATGAAATTGAATCCAACCAAGTGTTCGTTCGGAGTAAAGTCGGGGAAATTCTTGGGTTACTTAGTGACCAAGAGAGGTATTGAGGTAAACCCAGAGAAAGTGCGGGCGGTGATGGAGATGCAGTCGCCGGCAAATGTTAAGGAGGCACAAATCTTGGCTGGACGAATCGCAGGGCTGAGTCGTTTTATATCGAAGGTGGCGGAAAAAAGTGGCCCGTTGTTTAAAACATTGAAGAAGAGTGCGAAATTTCAATGGACGGAGGAGGCGCAGAGGGCATTTGAGGAGTTGCGAGGGGTGTTAGCCAACCTTCTCTTATTGGCTAAACCCGTACAGGGCGAGGAGTTGGTGCTATACATTTCTATTGGAGAGAGGGCTGTAAGTTCGGTGTTATTGCGGGAGGAAGGGCCAGCACAATTTTCCATCTATTACGTGAGTAGGGTGATGCAGGGGGCGGAGATGAGGTATTCGGAGATCGAAAAGTGTGCTTTGGCTGTGGTTGTAACTGCTCGAAAGTTGAGACCTTATTTCTTGAACCATAAGGTGAAGGTGCGAACGAACATGCGTTGGAAAAAACACTTGGCCGGCCATCGGTCTCTGGTCGATTAGTGAAATGGGCGGTCGAGTTGAGTGAATACTCTTTGTCGTATGAGCCGAGGAGGGCCATAAAGGCGCATGTGTTGGCCGACTTTATCCAGGAAGGCACCAAGGCCGAGGAGGAGTCAGGGGGAGTATGGCAGTTATTTGTGGATGGATCGGTGGCGAGAAGCGGAGCCGGATTGGGAATTGTCCTGGTCTCTCCTAAGGGCGATTACTTGGAATTTGCGGCCAAGGTGGGGTTCAAGATATCCAATAGTGAGGCCGAGTATGAGGCGGTGATAAAAGGTTTGAGTCTGGCTAGGGCAGGAGGAGCCCGGAAAGTACAAGTGCATTCTGATTCTCAACTGGTGGTCGGGCAGTTTCAGGAGGGGTTCGAAGTCAAAGAGGACCGGATGCGGAAGTATGTTGATGAGATGAGGAAGTTGAAAGAGGAATTTGACTCATTCGAGTTGATACAGATCCCTCGAGGAGAAAATGGTCGGGCATACTTGTTATCGAAAATTGCTCAAAGCTTGGTGGATTGTAAGAGCAGAAGTGTTACTCTATTGCATCTCGAAAAGAGTGTAGTCGAAGCGGAAGTGGCGGAGATTGAGGAAGTGGAGGATTGGAGGGCCCCGATCTTAGAGGAGCTGAAAGCAGGAACGATTAAAGCGGTGAGGAGATTTTTTGAGCATGGGGGCATTCTTTACAAGCGGTCATATGCGGGACCACACTTGCGTTGTGTTGCTAAGGAGAAAGGTCGATATGTGCTGAGAGACATGCACGAAGGGTGTTGCAGTGACCATAGTAAGTCAGGGGCCTTGGTGGCAAAAATCTTGAGGGCAGGATATTTCTGGCCGACGATGAGAGAGGATGCGAAGGCGATGGTGAAGAAATACTTACAATGCCAAAAGCACGGTCCCCTTATTCTTCAACCGGCAGAAGCAATGACGACGATGAGTTTCCCTATACCATTCGCCCAGTGCGGTATCGACCTGGGGGGGTCGATGCCGCAGGGAACTGGACAGAGGAAGTTCTTGATAGTGGCGGTGGATTATTTCACAAAGTAAGTGGAGACCGAACCCTTGGCGAAGATCACGGAGGAGAGAGTAATCAAATTTTTATACAACAACATTTGCTGCAGGTTTGGCGTGCCTAAAGTGTTGATTTCTGACAATGGCACTCAGTTCAATGGCAAGCGGATTCGAGCATGGTGTGAAGACATGAAAATCGAGCAACACTTTGCCTCTGTTGCTCATCCGCAAGCCAATGGCCAGGTCGAGGTAACCAACCGAATTATATTGAATGGGTTGAAAAAAAATCTGGAAAAGGCTTCGGGAGCGTGGGTCGATGAGTTGAGCTCGGTACTTTGGGCGTATCGCACAACCCCGAGGTCGACAACAGGAGAAACTCCCTTCAGTTTAGCTTATTGGATGGAGGCGTTACTGCCGGTCGAAGTCGAGTTATCATCCCAGAGGTCAAGCACATATGATACAGAGCAAAACGAGGATTTAATGATGGTGGCCCTGGATACTATTGAGGAGCTGCGTGGAAGAGCAGCAATCAGGGTGGAGGCATACAAGCAAAGAATGCGAGCCGATCATGACAAAAAGGTAAAAATTTGCAGACTCCAAGTAGGCGACCTGGTTCGGAAATGTGTCG